TCGGCTGTGAGATGGGCACGCAGCGATGGTGATGCGTGGAAAAAAAACCACCTGGTCTCCTCACATAGGCTACACCTCCCTCAGCTACGCTTTCATCATCTCCTCATCCATCCAGCCTTTTCCATTTGCGTTAATATCATATGTCATCAGAGCGCTGTGTCTGTCTCGCTGTCAGCTCCCAGATCAGCTTCTCTGATTGGTTGATGCGGCGCGTCCAGCAGCAAAACTTCAATTTTTCCATCTCGAGCAGCAGCAGCGCGTTGGCAGATGCTTAAACGCTCCTGCTGCTCAAAACGCGCTGCAGAACCTTTTGCTGCACCTATACGCGCGTCAACCATTTACTTTGCATGTAAACTCGCTGCTTCTGCTGCACCTGCTGGGTCCGGTTCACACCGATGTCGAGCGGTTGAACAGCGAGCACAGCGTTAATTTGTTTCCCCATGTTTTTCACATCAGCTGTGAGATGGGCACGCATGGAGTTACATATTAACAGCGATGGTGATGAGTGGAAAAAAAAACACCTGGTCTCCTTACATTCAGCCACTCTTTCATCATCTCCTCAATGAGATGGTCTCAAAAGTCGCAGTTACAACACACATAGGGGGCACCGCACCATAGGGCGCACCGCACATTTTGAGGGAAAAAAAAGACGTTTAAGTGCGCCTTATAGTCGTGAAAATACGGTACTTTACATTTCATTGCCAACATATTGCCAACAAATAAGAACTATCAGTTTTAAGCTTTAATTCCTGATAAAAATCTATCGCAGAGTTATTAAAATCATTGTGAAAGCTAAGTAGTTCAGAGAGCTGATAACACTGGACAAATGTCCATTACTTGTCATTTAAGGGATTATGTTAACCTATAGATATCATCACCCCTGAAAGATTAAGTCAGATCTTAGTAATTATTTTTTTATTTAGATTGTTTGCTATTCGAAGGTCAAAAAGTTTGAAATTAGATAATTCCTCTACACCACAACCTCAATCTATAAGGATAGAAATAGTTTATTTCAATCTGTTTATATAACATTTCAAGGTTCTTTATACACATGGAAATCAGATCCAGGATATATACATAAATATATAATTGAATTAATCCAACTTCATACACAGATTAACCTCTTACACCCTAAGGGGGTATAAATAAATTTCTGCCTGACAAAAACACACAAAAGTAAATAACTTATAGCCTCAAAGCTATTAGATTTAAGAAGACATTTTTGGTACGTCTGTAAAGGTAAGATGTCATAGAATGGTTTTCTGGTGTCAGCACCATTGTAGCTTTGACTCTGCCTGAAATATTAGGGACAAAATACAAAATATTTTGCATTTTTTGAACCTCGCCAAAATTTTCTTTGAAATAAACATTGCAAAACACTACCAAAATATTATTTATAGCGCAAAAAAGTAGTACAGACTTTCAAATCTAAATGTTGTGTAAAAATATACCAAATTTGGACTCAATCAGATGAATCATATTTATTTTAGAATGGTATTAGTGAGAAATTTCTTAGGCGGAGAGGCCATTTTGGCACATTTATCCATAAATGTCACCAAACTGTGCCAAATATGTTTTTTACATCAATACTGGGGGTTTGGTAAAACTACAAGGTCACGTAGCAGCTGGACCCGCCGGTGGGTCCGTAGGGTTCAAGGGGTTAATATATATATTTTTTTTTTAAATGTTAGACCTGTTTCAATTTCTTTACTGTAAAACTGTAAAGCAAATTAAAAAGGAACCAAGGAAGTCAAATTCCATCCCTCACATTGAGCAAACATGTGGTGACAGTGGAAAGAAATGACTCCAACAGAACCTGGTCCAATAGACTGGACGTTTGAGGAGACATGAAATGTAAATAACTGCTATTTTCTTTCATTACCCTGTAATATAGGCTTGTAAAAAAGGAATAAACATACCTTCTGCTTAATACTATATTCTTGGTTTATTTTATCTCTGTCATTAATCTTTTAATGCCTGCAAAGACCAGCTTATCCGCAGCACCTTAGACTTTACCTGGTTTGCTAAAGCAGCACACTAGTCATACCAATTATGGGTGTCTAAACCTGGCTTTCTTGTCTGAGGGAACATTAAGAAAGTTAACTTTTAACATTACTTCCAAGGTTGGTTTGCCATCTTTTGATTCTGGCTTAAACATGTATATAAATGTATTCTTTAACAGACCATATTGTCCTGAAAGTTTGAGATTTTTATTAAAAAAAAAATCCTATTTTAAAATCTGTGGGTTTTTTTCGTTATGTTATGTAGGCCAGTTAGTTATACGTCAGCTTGTACACCTAAATCCTGCCAATCATATATCAACGGTCATCTGTCAATATAATTTTTTCGGTCATAGCATCTTGATTCATATGTCCCAGGTTATATATACACAACGGTTGAAATAAGAAATAAGAATCATTTACTTTCCCATTTAGTTCCGTCCCAGTGTTCTTGGGGATGGACGTCTGTGTCTTCAGCAGGCGCAGAGCTAACAGAACTGGCAGCGTTGCGAGGCAAGGGCTCAAACATGTACGGCTGTAAGCCTTCTACACCAAACAAAGCTTCTGCCACCCTGGCGTCATCTTTGAAACATCTTCGTCCCCACTTTCCTCCTCTAAATAAAAAATGTATGATGCAAGAGACTCATCCACGACCTCTGACACAAAACTCTCCTCCTCTTGCATGTTTCCACTGTCCATAGCGTTCCTTGACAGTGTCATTTCTAAGTCACCAATTTAGTGCTACTTGGTCCCAATGTAATTTCTCATTTGAAACCTACTAGCACTAAGTTGCTAACTGGTAATCTAGCACGATGCTCCTGAGACACCGGCCACAACCAAAAAGCTTGCGAACCTCCCGCCACAAAAATCCCGCCCCCTTAATAAACAACCAATCACATTCACTTTATTCACTCGTGTAAAGTCGGGCACAACTCAGGAGAATTCGGAAATGCCACAGTTGGAACAGTAGTTTCCCTACGACTTTAAGGTAATTGTGAGTGTGAAAGGTTTTTTCTGTCATCCTTATTTTAAAATAAACAAATAAAAAAAATTGCTTTTCTTGAATATTTATTTTTTTCCACCTTTTCATTTTTTTCTCTGATTCTTTTTTATAAGACCATAATCTTATGGGTATTTTTTTTGCCTTTTTAAAAAAAAAATATATATTTTTTTTTATTATTATTATTTTTTTTTTTTTTTTTTTTTTACATTGCAAAAGAAATGGAAAGGTTTTGTGCTGTGGCATAGTGAATGACCTGATGCAATCAGCTGGGTCTTCTTAGATAGAAATCCCTTAATTTGGGCTTAATTAATTTATTTCTACACAAATCTAAATACTATTTTTATTGTATTTTGTACCAAAATTGAGATTTTATTTCGATTTTCTCTGCACTAACTGTAGATGTTTCATTTCAGGGTTTTGTTGTTTCCACGACCTTGAAAGCTTATTGGTCCAGAGTCGATTGTGACTTTACTGATACTGTTGCATGGAAAAGTGCTTCTTCTGCTAGTATGCTTTTTGACCTGCATAGTAGCTGCAACTCTCCTTGTGGTGGCAAACCCCCTCTAAGGGTATTACCACCACCTAAAGGTTTGGAGAGAGAAAGTCGGTGTCTTGTTAAATGTTACCAAATTGAGTGCCTCTGCAATTCGACAATTGCATTTTGATAAACTACAATTGTACTGCAAATATAATTATTTTGTCAAGCCCTCATTTTAACCAGTCTGTATGTATGATTTGATCGAACTGCTTCTTGGAGGTGCTGTGAATTGGTCCTTTGTGGATAAACTTAATAAAATTGAATTATGTGTGAGGACTAAAGTTATCAATAGCATATGAGAGAAAATGTGTTGATGTTTATAGAAGTTTGAGGTTTAAGGGACCTAGGTGGGAAATAAAATGAAGACACGTCAAAGGATTATCTGTATCAAAAATTAACCACAAACCACGTTAAAAGGGTATTAAAACTTAGTCTGATGAACAATTACTGTGTTCATTTTTTTTCTTCTGCTTTTCTTCCAGAAAGATGCAGCAATGTCCTGCTTGTGTTTTTTGGGCAAAGGCCACCAGGTTTTTATTTAAAATCTTAATAATTATCTACATGCCTCCGGTTGCTTTTGACTTTGCTGCTGGTGAACCTGAAGTGTTGCTGAACAGCTTTCTAATAGTCTCACAAAACTAAGGGTTCTGGTTCTACCCCCAACCCCCCAGGTCTCACCAAACTCCACAGGTTTAAATCTGTGATTGTGACAACATTTATTCTAAACAACCTGCTGGCATATAGACAGTGCCTCATGTTTGAGAATTGCTGAGCCAAAATTAGGCAGATAAGGTTTGATCTTTTTAATCATCGCCTTCTTGATAGATTAAGGCACATTTATGCTCTTGGGTATTTCCTCTTAGCTATGTCCTGACCTATAAAGATAGAAAAACACCTACATTCATTGAATGGGATGCCCATGATGGTTTCATTTGGCAAATGTTGACTTGTTAATTTCATGCTTTCGTAAACGTGTCCTAATGACCAATTTAACTTCTTTACCTTTTTAACACTTAAACTTTATTCATGCATACTAATTCTGCAACATGTTATTAGTCAACAAAACATTTTTTTTCCTGCCTTTGTCAGTTTTTGCTAAAAAAGGTTGGTTGGTTAAGTTTGTGCAAGTTCACAAGCTGTGGTAGACGATAAGCTGCAACCTCAGAGTGGATCTAATCCCCTGGACCATATGTCTGGTTTGTAGACCAGAGCCAGAACAGCACAAACACCACAGCGATGCAGGACAGGAAAAAACACACAGACTGTTCATCCTCATGTAAGCAGAATGTGAGCTTTTGAGTTTGTAGCTTCTAGTTCAGTAAGCAATACTTCTATTGAGTTTTGCAGGTTGATTAATGTTTGTAAATGGCTGTTTAAGTAATTTGTCGGGCACCTGGGTGTAGACTTGTGATCCCTGTGACATCATGAAGGCGCTAACTCAAACCTGGTTTAATTTCAGGAGGCAGCAGCGACCTCAGGGAGGAGGAGGGGGGAAGAACCAGTCTCAACAGATACAGCCACAGTCTCCACAGAGGCAGAGGGATCAAATTCACCAGCAGTCCCCAAACCAGCAAGAGTTAAATTTAAATGATCAGGGAGAATACAGACACCACAATGCTGGTCGACCACCTCGCCAGCACCAAGGAGGACATGCTGGACCTCGCCAAGGTGGACCACAGCATCACGGTTACAGCCAGAACCGGCGTTGGCACCACAATCAGAAAGGCCAGGGGCATGGAGAGACAAACACTGTAGGCGATAAAGAGGCATCGCCAAGAACAACCAAAGAAACTGAGAATGTGATAGTGGGCGACGAGCAGATCAGACAAGCTCAGGACTGCAACAACAGAAGTCCCATTAATTCACCCAGATCTGCCCCCTCACCCAGTGCAACAGCCCTCCTAGACCCTACAGTAAGTAAGGAAGTCCTTAACATTCAGCCAAGTGGGAAGGCAAGCGATGGCCTGACAGAGCGGCCAAAAGTCAGTCTACTGCAGTCATCAAAGGAGAGGCTGAGGAGGCGGCTAAAAGACAAGGTAACGAAAAGCTGCTTAGTGTCTGTCACTCTCTATCAGGGCAGCTAGGGCCTGATCTATGTGGGCTGATCTATGTGGGCACATGCTAACATAGGTTTCACAATCACCTGTAAAAGACGAGTAGCTTCATTATCGCACAGACGCTTGTCTTTCACCCTGTGGCTTCATTTAACCGTACAGGTGTTTTATTCTGCAGTCACACAGAAGGACTGTCTGTTTGCTCCCTAAGGGGGAGGGGGTAGCATTTATTTAACAGCTCTTTGTGGCTTCTACCTTTTAGTTAACTGATGAACTGGCAAAACACTTTGTGCCTTTTGACAACAACCAGATGATTAATTTAAGAAAATACAATAATTCAATGCAACTTTACTGGGTGTTTTGCAGCTTTTGATTAAAATGTACCTGATCATTTATTTTCCACTCAGTTATATCAGATTTGTTTTTGGCCCCTTTTCTGCTTAGAAAAGAAGAGAAGAAATCTAAATTCTGCCATAGTAACACATATTAAAAGGTCTTCCCTTCAAAGACCCATGGTTAATCTGCCAGATTCATCCACTGCCATTGAAATGCATGGAGTTACTCAATTAACTTTTACCCATCAATCCATTTAACCTGTTAATTGGTGTGACGCCTGCGGTTCAAATATCAGTCTTAAATTCCTTATGAAGTTTTGTGAAACATTTAGAAAATTTCAAAGAACTGAGTCTGGAATCTGACGCCAAATATGAACATTGTCTTCTCTGCAGGAGGAGATCCATGCAGAGGAGTCCCAGTCCCGACCCCAGAACATGGATCGGCTGGTGGACCTTCTCAACAGCATGAGGAGCAACAGCAGCGGCGTGGAACAGCAGCTAGCATCCTTCATGGAGGAGGCGCAGAGCTCTGCGCGGTCTGAGGAGTCGCTGGCTCAGGTGGTTGGAGCCATTTACTCCAAGGCCGTGTCTGACCGAAGCTTCGCTGCAACGGCAGCCAGACTCTGCGACAAGATGGCTCTGTTTATGGTGGAGGGAACCAAGTTCAGATCTCTGCTGCTCAACATGCTTCAGGTAAGAGCATCTTTTAGAGTCGAAGAAAACCTCCTGCCCTGGAGATTTATTTCTCTATAATGATTCTGGCTGTGTTTGGTAGGTAACACGGCGGTGAGCTACTGGTTTCATTACCTCACAGTGAATCGACTTCTTGTTCCAAAATTAAATCTCTTCTCCTGGTTCTGCAGCCTGTGTGAACGATCTCAGGGGATCTTGTTAGTTATGGTTTCAATTTGGAAAACAGGGTTTCTTTAGGAATTTTGTTCAACTCTTGGATAATTGAATCGTGGCCAAACTTTTATGCTTCATAATGCAGCGATTTACATGATTAATTTTTTTATGATATTGCATCTTATTGCTTTAGTAACTCTAGTATTTCTATCCAGTTCTTCTTAGATTTTTTTCTTGATTTTCAGGACATAGTTGCCCTTGATTATGCTGGAATTGTTTGCATTTTACAAAGTATTTAATTGTTGGTTGCGGCTCACTCTGATGGCCGGCTCAGCGTGCCTCACATCTGTACATCTCAATAGACAAAGTTAAATAATCTAAACTCCCTGGGGGAGCGGATGGCCTGCTTCCTCTTCACCTTCCATCCCGTCTCTTTACTGCACAGCTCCAGTCCTGCATCCTGGATGAAAACATCCTCTGAAGCGTAGCATCCTTTACCACTCCCTTCTTTCATTTCCTCCCTCATGAGCTCTCTATTCCCATGTTCCCACGTCTTCTCACCTCTGTCACCCATTACAGTACAGACTGATGCCTCCCCATTTCTCCTTTACCATCAGCATCCTTTACCACTCCCTTCTTTCATTTCCTCCCTCATGAGCTCTCTATTCCCATGTTCCCACGTCTTCTCACCTCTGTCACCCATTACAGTACAGACTGATGCCTCCCCATTTCTCCTCCTTGCCATCAGAAAGTTAACCACCTGCTGCTGTTTGTATTTCTTTTACTTAGATTTCTTCTGGATAAGAGATTTATTATGTCTAAAAACATATATTTAAAAGTTTAGATTTTTATCCAGGTCCGAACATGTGGAATTCTGTCTTGATTATTCCACCTCCTTTTAAAGGCATTTCTCCCACTTCCATCACATTTGTGTGGTCTTTTCTTCTCTTTTTTCTCTCTTTAATTTCTGTTTCCCAGCCAGCAAAGACCCCCCGCTCGCCTTTGACATTTTGGCTTTTTTGTGATAAAACATTTTAAATGTCATAAGTGGGCTCATGAAGGCTTTCATTAATGTTGTTGCCATTAGACCCCCGGATCTCAATATGGGGCCAATTAGCCGGGCTGCTCTGTTTATTCAGAGGAAGGTTTAGTTTGGGCCTAAACACCACCACTGTTAAACCTATTAAAGACCTCCCCCAGTAAACACAGCTGATGCTACGCTTCTCTGTTTTCATGTTTACTGTTGTAGAAAGATTTCTATCCTTTAGATCCATCAGAGCTGTATGAGAACAAACTGAAGCTATTCCATTTATTCTACTCCACAAATCCTCGTAAATATGTGTACAATAGCTTTCAAAGAAATAATCAGAGTCGCTTAAAATCACAGATGTAGATGTATATTTTATATACATTTATTCAGTGGGGATAAAACCATTTATTTTAAGCTCTAACTTTACAATACATCATACTTTCTTTGGGCTTGTAATGGATAATTATGAGGGATTTCTTATACCCATTTATTGTAACAGGAAAAACATAGTTGGGTAGATTTATTTTGATTGAGAAAAGTCAGAAAATTGCAACAACAAAATGAGCCCTGCCCAGGGTTCGTACGGGTGCTGGAAATCCTTGAAAATGCTTGAATTTTGACGTTGTGTTTTCAAGGTTTGAAAAGTGCTTATATTTTGGATGAAATGCTTGAAAATGCTTGAAATTGTAACTATTTCTTTCGCAACAAATACCTATCTAACTGAATCGTGTGTTTATTAAATGGAGAAATAAAATGTTGGAGAGCCCGAAAATGAAACCTGCTCGCTTATGTGTGACTGCGATCTGCCAGTCTATTTCCATGTGTGACTCCGCCCCCATGAAACCACTATGGCACCATGCCGGGAGGTTTTCGTTTCAATGAACGTTGGCTGGAAGATGAAAAATACAAATTATGGATTAAACGGGGACAAACCCCATGAGTTGCCTCTTGTAAAGTCTGCAAAAAAGATGTGCAGCTTTTCACAATGGGTGAGTCTGCGCTGTCGAGTCACATGAAGGGTAAGTGATAGACTTTTTAAGTAAGCCAACTGAAGTAGCCTAGTACATGTTAACGTTAGCGCCTATTTGTTTACGCTAGTAACTGGTACCTAGGAATTTACAGGCTGAGTTACTGAGTGACTGAGAGTACGGTTTGGTTTGATTATGTAATGTTAGTGTTGCAGTGTTTCCCCCAGCACTATCTTGGCCAGGCGGCCGTCTCGCCAACGTTTAAAAAAAAAAAACAAAAAAAACCCCAGAAGTTTTGATTCATTGCCAGGCCCAGACCTTAAAATAGCATTGATAACTCTACAGCTGATAATACTGAATTGCGACACCCTCTGGTTTGTTATATTACTACGCCATGGCAGAGGAGTAATCCCCCCGCAGTCATCCGCGCAAAACTGATTCCGGCCGACAAATGGTGGTGGTATAAGGTGCTGGAAAAAGTTTTGAAATCGATCTTGAAAGTGCTTGAAAAGTGCTTGATTTTGACTTTGGAAAAGGTGTACGAACCCTGCCTGCCTAATTGTGAGAATTCAGTTATAAAGATTTGATTTGAATTAAGGTAAAAGATGGGTTATACTTTGGACTATAGATGTTTCGAAATGTTTTTATTCTTTCCTGACACGATTCTTAAGTGATGGTTGTTCTATGAGTATCAGCCGATGCCGAGTACCAATACCAGTATGTAACAATAAACTATAGATAATCATGCTACGCCTACATGACTGTGATATGACTATCATAGTCATTTCTATTTAAATTCCTATTTTAAATTCCATGTATCGGATCGATGCCTGGATTCAAACATTTTCTAATAACGATGCCAGCATTTCCGTCAGTAAAAGAGACATTTCAGATACTGGTATCAGAATCAGAACAGCTTCACTTTGAACCCGTTGCTTTTCCAATGCACTTTGTGAGACACACAGCATTATAAACCCTTGAAAACTACAAGCTCATTTCATCCGATGTCTCCTAACAGGAGCAGAAATCGCTTACAGCAGGATTTTTTTCCCCCCACAGAATAAATGGACTCAAATTAAAGGTGCAATTTTTCCAGCTTTTATTTAGTGAGATTTGCTGCTGCTAAGATTTTACTTTACTTATCTAGATTATACTTCTAAAGCCCCCTTACAGATACCTCAGTGAGGGAGAAAAAAAAGGAAGCCCTGGCGCTGCCTGTTAATAAAGGTTCAGTTTAACCTGTGCGGCAACAACTTTATATGTGAGCGCATGAAGCATTAACCTGTATTAACTTCGACACTTTCACAGCTCTGACACACTTCACCGTTCTCACTTTGGAGATGAGCAAAAAAAAGGATCTTTTTAATGTGGTTGTCAAAGGTTTTTTTTGGCTTGAAGTACTGTTGGACACAGGGTTAATTTCAGGGATGTGAAAGATGTTAACAGTGATTATTAGCCTGAAAAGGTAAAGATCACTCCTGTGCGCTGTGTTTTCACCTGCTAGCTGACACGTTGTGTAACGCCATCACAGAAGCTTCACATGCTTGGCATTTTTCTAAGCTAAAAGGTGCTTTGTTCTTTTTTCTTTCTCTCCCTCAGAGAGACTTCTCCCGTCGTGAGGAGCTGCAGCAGACGGATGTGGAGCACTGGTTGGGTTTCATCACCTTCCTATGCGAGGTGTTCAGCACCATGAGGAGCAGCTCCGGCCAGCCTTTCAGGGTTCTGGTGTGCCCCATCTTCACATGTTTACGAGAGGTTTGTATTCAAACAGGTTCAGGTTGCAGCAACGAATGGCACCAACCCGTGCCAACTCGTCCACGCTCTGCAGGAGGAAGCACCTTCGCCTTTTTTTGCTCGTTGCCGTCTCTGCCGTCTGGTTTCCTGTTTTGCGACCAGACGCGGTCTAGACTCCAGACACCGCATTGTGGTTCGGTTAGAGGTGCAAACGATGGAGACACAATTATTCCAGTATAAAAAAAAAAAAATGCATGACCCTGGGTTATGTCCCCACCAGCTGGTTGAACTTTCTGCTGGTCACCATAGAAACCATAACGAGAAGCCACAGCAAACTAAGATATGATACAGCAGAGGTTTACGACAGCCTGGGTATTGAAAGGGGGAAGTGAGTGGGCGGCAAGGAGAAAATGCAGGAGACTGTGGTCAGATTGACAGTTAGTGTAGAGGAAGTTTGCTTACGCTGCGACAGATAGAAAACAAAGGCAGAGACAGACAAGATCTGAGAATCCACTTGTGTAAATGCTTTTAAATTGCATCATCTAACTACAAGGGAATAACACAGACGCGTATAGGTGAGTTATAGCACCCGCATTAACATCTCTAGCAGTCTAGCACTTCAAACACCCAGTCTCTGACACAGCGATCCATCCGTCCACACCCCGTCCGTAGGTATGCCCAGGGCATTATCTCAGCTTGTTAAAAGACTCTGCTGCTCAACCAAAGGTGTGGTAACTAGTCAGAAACCCACATGCATACCAACAGTTTAAAGCATTAGAAGTAACGTACGTAGATCCTTCACTCTCATTGTAAAAGAAAAGAAAACATATGTGGGTGTTCATGCATCTATTCATGCCGTGGATTTCAGGCTTTTTCCCAGAACTATTGCCTTTAATTTGATCCGTTTTCGTGGGCGTCAGAGTTCAGTTAGAACCACAGTGCTTGTTTGCCTTCCACACATCTTCCTGCACGACCAGCGTCTTGCAAAACCGCTTAAACTCTTCCATATTTTGTCATGATGCAACCGCAGACTTCAATCTGTTGTATTGGGATTTTATCTCATAGACCCAAAGGAAGTGGTATATGATTGTGATACAGAAGGAAAATGATGCATTGCATCTGGAGTATTTTAATGCAGAGTTAGCGCTGGAAAAACTGACAGAGTTGAAAACATACTAAGAAATAGCTTACTACCTTAAGTGATAAGCTTTTTATCTGTGAGCTGTGTAGTCGGAGCAGCAGACAAACTGCTTTGGCTAGATGAGTGAAAAGGTAAAATGAGGTAAAATTACCTTTTTTGGTCTAAATCCAAAATGTTGCACTCTGCCAGGTGTGACACATGGGGATGGCAGCATCATTCTGCATGGGTGAGAATAAATGGAACTAAATAAATGACTAACCTGTAAATCTTGACACTGTAACAGGTACCTTCCAGGACAACAATCTCAAACATACAGCCGGCGGTCCAAAGGATTAGCCTAGATCAAGTGTGTTTGTGTGTTAGAACGGCCCAGTCAAAGTCCAGACTGAAACTAATAGAGAATCTATGGAAATACATTTACAGATTATTTTTTCATCAAAGTTCCCCCCTTTTGCCAGTTGAATAAACAACCATTGTCTTCAGCCAGCGTAAGAACTTCAAATTATAAACCTTAGTGACTTACCCTTAGTCACTGTCACTCCTTTTTAGTCAGCCATGGCATTGCAGCTAAACCTTCCCAGCAAGTCAACTGAGACACTATTCACCCCCGTTTGTCTGTCCTTAACAAGTTAGACAGAAATGATCCCAACAAAGTGGAAAAAGGTCACGCTTTACAAGCGGATCTACCAGTAACTGAACACGGCTGCTTTAATCACTGTTTTAGCTGCAGAGCTGCAAGCTTTGAAGTCGCCACTCGTGTGAGTGGGAGTGCTTTTTTTTTTATGCCAGAAATAAAAGCTTTCCAGCACCCTTCCACTTCTTTTCTACAAGGGCAAGGTAAAATTAACTAACAGTGAAAAAAGTGAAAAAAATGCATGCATGCATGTCTCATGAAAGGTTTGGTAAATGATTCATTCTTTTCCTCGACTAACAATCTATAAATCGCTAACAGATCTTAATATTTTATTACATTGCTGTAGTTTATGAGGTTTCTACGTGAGTTCAGTTACTTACACTCATCGCTGTTACGTTTTTATAAATTCCTTCACCTAGCACAGTAAAACAGTTTAAAATAGTTCAGTTTTCAGCTTTAAAGCTCATCTTGAGTTTGTGAATGTCCTTGTTTATAGGAGTTGCTTTAGATAAAATGACTTCAATCTAAAAAGCTGCCATAAACCATGAGATTTGCTCCGTCTAAAAGTCCACAGTTATAGAGCAGGTAGCAGCGAACTTGTTTCACTAAAAAGATCTTTTTTTTTTCTGCTACTATACAACTCTCATATAATAGGAACTTGGTTTGCATTTCCACACCAGCATGCTTTTTTTTGTTTGCCTAGAAACTATATAAACCTACAGATGCCCACACAGGCAAATTATTATAGACTCTGGTGTATATGTAGGCTTATTTGGTTAGCAGATAGTGAGACAGCATCGTTGCAACAGTAATACTGTAATAAAATTAACTGTAACTACAAGTGGTGCTAATCCTGAAGATAGACTCCCAGTTGCTATGCAACAACTGGGAGGATGGTTTCAGTCGAATTTTTAGTTTATTATTCCATCGGGAGAAAAGCAACAGGTCTGTGTGTATTTTCAGCATTATGATGGCAGGTCTTATAGTAATTTGAATGTATTTAAGTGTGTGGTTTGATGGTCGGAGTTATCAGAGGATCGAAGGTTGCGTGTTCTTTTTTTTTTTTTTTTGCTTATCACTGATCCAATATCTGCAGGAAATTATTGTGCATCTGTTTCTTTGCTGATCCTGCAAAGAAACATGATGATCTTCTGCTTAAAAGGAAATGTTCATGTGGTCATAAATGTATATTACTGTGCTGTGAGAGAGAATAAAAAGCTGTGAATAGAGCAGAGCTGGAGAGCTAAAGAGGAATGACTTTGATTAGATCATTTTAACAGTATTTGGTGGGGGGGGGATCTGAATTGAGCTCCCCTGAGAACTCATTATGAGCTCCTCCAGCTTGTCACTTACTTTCCCCACTGTGGAAACGCCAGGACTGGAGTTCCTACTTCAAACAGCCTCTCTGTCACCACGCCTGTCTTAGCATACTGAGGAGCTGACGTCTGTTCAACTGCTGGGCCTGAATGATAGGTGAAGCAGCGAGAAAGTTGCAGAGAGGGAAATAAGAGCCCAGCTTCCACTAAATGTAGATCGACACGTCAGTTAGGAGCAGGCCTTTTTTTATTCCTCCTTCGTCTTTCAGACTTATGAAGGTTCAAGCTTTATGTCAGTGTTTTTATGTCTTTTGGATTCTCCATTGTTAATTTATTTTAGAAACTAGAACCAACCTTTATCGTCTTTTAAACTTTTACTTAAAGCTGTATTTTATCTGAATCATTTCTAATTCTCCAGCTAAAAAGATTTTAATAGACTTGACCCCGAACAAGCCTGCCATAAACACAACATATTACTTTACTGCACTATGAGTACGTTTATACACTCCTACTATTCCAGACATATTTGTTTTTACCTCTGTCTGAAGATCAGAGTCTAAGATTTAACTTCAGTCAGAAAATAAAAAAAAATTAACCCATTAAACCCAAATGAATAATTTGGGACCTAAGAGTGAAACATAATCCAGTTTCTTTCACCTAACAGAGAAAAACTATTATTTCTACAATTGCAAAACAGACCTAATGCATTGATTGTTTAACTGATTTTTTATACAATAATATGTATAGATGTATTTTATCTATAAATTGTTAAAGGGATATGTAATGAATACTGAAAATGTAACTGTAGTTTTAAAGTAAAGCTGCTTTTTATGCAGAATGTTACTCTTTTATTAGCATCTGGCTAATAGAGTTTCTAGAATAACACAAGTAGCTGAGATTAGCTCCATAATGCTTTTGCCTTAGATAGCCAGCATGCATTTAGCTGTCTAACAGACCTGCTGCTTATAGCTTGCTAGCTGTAGTTTTAAAATAGTGTTTTCTTATAAGAGTGATGGGTGGGCTTCATTACGTTTCACACAATGAGTCTCACAAATGTGTCTCAAACAGCTGAAGACGTCCTTCTTGTAGGCAATGGAAAAGTGGCCTTCCTTCAACCAGCTAAAAATGCTTACAAGTGGGACTAGGTCTGCAGACAGATGGATTTAGATCTAAATGATAGTATCCTGCATTAGACTGAATTTCGTTATGTAGTTGTTAGATCTTCTAATTATCATCCTAATATTTTTGTTTTTGTTTTGCTCTTTTTTTATAGCTGCTTGAGTCAACAGATGTTAAAGAGGATGCGGTCCTTTGTTGCTCCTTGGAGGTATGGACCACACACAAGCACACATTTAAAAAAGACAGAGGAATGTCCTCGCTTAGCAAAGCTGTTCTCTAAGTGTCCAGTTGGTCTCAGAAGAAGCACCTAATTTTATACATAAAGATAGAAAACCAAAAAAAAGGTTTTTTTTTCAAGCACCAGCTTGTTTTATAGCTTGTAACTTTAAAGATCAAACTGTCCTCAACAAGAGAAGGAAATTAGATAAAATGAAAACTATTAAGCCTTTTGTGTTTGATAAATAGTATAATGGTAATCTATTCATAACCCTTCCACTTTTTTTTACATTTTGGCATATTTCTAAGACAAACTGTGTTTTGTTTTTAGCAAGTTAAATATCACATAAAGCAGAGCAAAATGTAAATAGCACTGTTCGGTCTATTACTGTCACAACGTTGCATCAGCCAAGCTGCCATTAAAGCTGGTATCTATGGTAACATATGGTATTGAGTTTGAGATTCAAAGCATAAAAGTTCACAAGAAGGGGATGTTTAAGTAATGGCCGGTGAGTTCCAAGCCATCCTTTAACTGAATTAATGTTCCATTCTGCAGCCCTTTTCAGATTAGATTTTGATTAGATTGGATTTAAAACAAAACTAGCAGTTCAGCTTCACTCTTAACAAACCATCCCTTAAAACATGGCAGTGGCAGCATCATGATATGGGAATGCTCTTTAATAACAACTGGACGGTTGGATACAGATGCAAAGACGGGAGAAACTTTAACCTCCCAGCACCATGACACCTAAAAATATAAAACTAATCCAACTCAGCTATTGAAAAAAAAGGAAGCAAAAACAGTTTCTAGATCAGTTTCTAACAGTTATTCCAGTAATTGAGCATTAGGAGGCTGAACACAATTTAGATTATTAAGGATCAATGGGACAACCTTGGTTCATTTGTTTATTTAATAATAATATTGAATAACATTGATCTCATAGTGTAGAAATTCACTCTCTGCATTTAACCCATCCCAAACAATCTGATTTATTTGTCTAAAAAAGCAGTATTTTCCTGTTCAGCCAACATGAAACCCTTCTCATTGTAGCCACCTAACTTTATATTTACTTTTTAGTGATATTTTCATTCATATTCTCAGTATAGATGTGTAATGCTGTTATGTTTGCGTTTTGATACTATTACATGTAAAAATCAGACCCTAAAGGAACATCCTCCAAACATTCTAAGGATCTGGGATTATATCAGCACTCTCAGAACCACAATGGTTATGTTGCTATGAAAGCCTCTCAGCTGAAACAGGTTGAACCTATCCTTCAGTAGTAGAGGGAAAGGCCTTGGGATAACGGAACAGCAAGAGCAAAGGTAGGTGAGCTTTGAATTACAAACAGTTCCCAGATGCTAAGAAACACAGCTCCATAGCTGCAGGGTGTGTGAATCTCTGTGTGCTCACAGTAACAAGGTGCCAGACATTGTCTCTCTTTGTTATCTACTGTGTTTTTTTCCTGTTTTATTTTTCTTAACTTCTACCCGTTCTCCCTGTGTCCTCCAGTTGCACAGCACAGGGTGTCTGCTAGAGGAGCAGCTTCCTGAGATGATGACGGAGCTCCTAGCAGCCGTCAGGGACAAGATGCTGAGTCCGAGCGAGTCTCAGCTGACCCGTTCCCTCCTCATGGAGGTCATCGAGCTGCATGCGCATCGCTGGAGCCCCCTGGAAGCCATCACCACACAATACTACAACCGTACCATCCAGAAGCTCACCACAACAGCCTAGCAGCCGGCTCCCACCCATGCCCAAAGTCTACTTAAAATATTCCTTTGCATTGTTGCTTGCCTGGATGATTTACTGTTAACCGTTTGCCGCTACTGAACTTGACATTTCATAAAACAGGTGGCGGTGGATGGGGGCAAACCTCCAGAAAGCTACCAAACATCCATGTGACAAAATGACAACACTACATGTTGGTAAAGTTACAGAGTTTAGTGTCCTGAGCCGGGGGTGGGGGGCGTGCTTGGCCACACAGAATCGGGGAGCTGACCGGGCTTTGGTGGTGCAGAGATTAAAAGAGGGGGAGGAGAGGTCAGCAGCTTGTCCATGGGGAATAAAGAGATCTGCATGGTGGGGGGGTCAGGGTGGTCTGTGTCAGTCTCTTATTGTGTTCATTCACCAAGCCCCCCCCCCCCCCCCCCCCCTCCCTCAATCTCTTTCTCCTCCATCGCCTATGTCTCCTCAGCAGCCCCTGGGGTTTTACTGGCTGATAAAAGAGAGACAGGGGAGGCGGCGGGGCGCAGACACGGCGCTGTCTGTCTGTGCCGTCTGCCCGCCGGGGTGGGGGACCAGGTCATAGGGTCTTACAGGGGAGCTCCCCATCCCGTCGCTACATGCCCCCCCCCCTCTAAGGGGATGAGACAGCAGGCCTGCTGGGCTGGGCTGAGGATCAGGCTCAGGCTGGCTGAAGTAGGGTGGCAGATGGCTGCTCGGGCCCCTGTGAGGCGACACACTCCAAGCACAGCCCGCCGTCGCCCCCGACTCCCCATTAAAGCAGCAGAAACCCTGTAGTGACGTGGGCTGCATCAAAACATTGAAGCAGACGCTGCCGCCTGATGATTCCTTTGTTTTTTCGTCTTGCGGGGGAATGTCTCTTGTCCTCCGCCCAGCAGTTCCTGTCCGTGCTTTATTTACCACAGCATTGATTTTTGTTATCCATTTTTAATCATGTACTGTTTTTACCATCGACGTCTCGTTTTTATGCTAAAACATAGAAGTAGACTCTATTGCACAGCTTGGATTCATTTTGCACTGTTTCCATGTCATTTTGCTTTATATTTGGTAATAAGCTCGGAGAAAAAGTTCAAATTTGAAGCAGTTGAGAGTAAATATTACACGGTTGTAGTAAAAGAAGGGGGTTGCACAGCGTGATGGAGTTTAGGTTGTTCTAATTGCCTAGTGGCCTTTGTTTTTTTAATAGGACCTCTGTTTTTTTTCCTGGTTTGTCGGTTTCTTGGCAGACCGCATGCTGACTAGCTGGACCTCATCACAAACATTTGTTTGCAGAAGGAAAAAACAATAATATAAGGAAAACAACAGAAGCATGGCTGCAGCCAGTGTTTCATAGGAGTTGTGTTGGATCTCGCTTTAATTTGTCAAATAACTATTATCCTGTGTATTTAAAAATCACTGCTATGAGAGAAGCTATTATTATTTGAATGATCTTTTCATTTGTGATCTTTTTATTTTTCCAAGCTAATGTTTGTAGCATAGGATTGATGTATCAACAAGCCAAACATGCATCATGTTTAAATGGGCTTTATGTATAATCTGCATTTAGGACTTTAGGTATTTAACTAAAACGCAACGGAGCGAAATGGTGCAGTGGAGCTGTTACACTAAAAATGAAAACCGTCTTGCTACACTAACTCTTTGGAGTTGCTTTGGAGGTATCTTTTGCAAAAATGCACGCATATAGGTGCAAATGTTGCAATCAGAAATAAACAACCCCCTCCTCACCAATCCCTTAGCAATGATGTGAATGGAAGTTAAAGAGAGTGGAAATTTGTTATTTTTGCACACAAAAGTGCCGCTCTTTTACCTACTAGAGTTTGTTCAACCCACCCCCAGCCTCATTTTCCTAACTTCCAACTAATATTCTTGAGATCTTAGCTTATTCTGCTTGTTTCAGTGCTGCAGCTTTCCCCTTTTAACATCTAAAGAGACTGTTACCATGGGATGCTGTAGGATCCTAGACATCATGATGACCAGGGTTCAGATTGCCAACAGACTGCCTCATGGTTTTCCTTAAATCAATGACGCCAATCAGAAACCAGCCCAACATAGACAAAAAAATAACCCTTTTCATGCTAGACCATAGCAGGGATGTTCTTAATGTTATTAACCTGGCCTACAGCAATTCAGACATACTACAGGTCTTGTTACAAGCAGACTATGACTGTCTCCCAAACATCATCACTTCTATCTAAATCCTACTGAACCGTTTTCTTGTTAATAGTGGAGTCTGCACTTGTAGTTCTCATTTATTCAGTGACTGAAGCATTTAGACCAGACATTTGTTGAGCTTGTCTTGCCATTGCTTAGTTGTTTCTCCTTGTTGTCCTCTGAAAGTCACCAAGACCCCTTAATAAGCAAGTTTTAAAATTTCTCCCAAGGCTGGAAGAAATAAACTGTCTTTCAGCCTTTAAGAAAGCTTCTTGTTTGCAAATTCACCTTGGTGAAAAAGAAATAGAGGATAGCAATAAAGATTCCAAAGAGTTAATTGAGTTACCTTTGTCAGAATGCTTAAAAGTGTTACCAGAGCGTGGTCATCCCTACAAAATACAGTGTTACACTAAAAGGACAGTCATCACGTAATCACAGCCGAATCGTCTTCTCTAGAATCTTTTGTTTTGGGGGGGAGGAGGTTGAATATTTCTGATGGCAGCAGTAAATTTTCCCACTAAATCTGTGGGCAGTTGATGTTCTTTTTTTTATCATTTCTGTCTTGCATCAAGAATTCAGATCCTGTGTGTTAGAAGCACACCCCCTCGAAAGATTAGTGGGGTGTGTGGTGTTAGAGGTGCTTTAAATATTGTTTATACAGTCGAAACCAGAGATTTACTTACAGTAATAAAAAAAAAAAAGGTGAATTAATCTAAGGTTTAGCAAAGATAAATTAATTGGGTCATTCTAGATTATTTAATATGGGAAAAATATAGTTTAATTTAATGTTAGAAAGTAAAGAAGACATCTTTTTTTCACACTGCATTTAAGTATTTGCTTTTAACTGTCACTATGTTGGAATAAGGGGTGATTTGTTGAATAGATTTTTTTTACGTTATTTAAATTGAATCTAGCACCATTTATATAAGAATGATGATGGTTTTAAAGACATTAAATGGTGATGCCTCGCTCCTCGGCAGGTGTGTAACTGTGGTATTACTGTGTTTTGAAAAGAAGAAAATCCCATCAATCAGCGTCCATTATGCAAAGAGCGGCTCCATCTCACAGTAGACTGGGGCAGGTGGGGATTGCCTCCCTCCTCTCCCTCTTTGCACCGCTGGAGCCTCTTCCACCCCCCCAGTGACCTGAGACCTTTCTGTTTGGGTCACATGTCTCAGTTGACAACTGAATGAGTTGCATCATAATTTGCATACGCTCATGAATTTTGAAAAAGCTAAAAGAAGCAGCTGGGGTGCAGGCAAGCTTTCTGTTAGCTGAAACTGAGGCCCTCTGAGTTTCTTTTGTTTTTAAGCAACTAGAAAATAAACTAATGAAGAGAAAAAGGCCTGATGAAGAAAAGCTGTGTGTTTTTTTTTTTGTTCCTTCTTCTCTACTGTTGGCGTGGGTACAAAGAAGTCATCATAGTGTCAGATGGATTTCTACATCACAATGGTGGACACGTGGTGGCAGCTGCTGTTACCAGAGAGACCGCGTAACTAATCATGGCGCCGCAGTTGGTCAGCACACGCCGAAACAGTTCATTTACATGCCCACTTTTGTACATGGTCACACATCAAACAGGCCACACTCCAGAATAATAACAACACCGGGTTTGCTGATGTACGCAGCGTCCTTGGCCAATGATGAGCCTCAGCACATGCCCGGAGGCTCTCTTGCCGTGGACCTCCCAATGGGAGCTCTTTATACTGAGGCCGTTTCCCCGCCGAGGCCCCCTTACCCCCAAACCTTCAGGGTGTTCTTCTGCACTCGTTCATACCAATCAGCATCATCCTATGTGCCAGAATATTCCATAAAACTCCACCAGCAGCTTTTCTAAGCAGATAAAATTCATCTTCTGATGCCATACATCTGAGTGGAAGACAAAAAAAGGCTTTATGTCAGTTCTGATTACTCTCTCTGTTAAACTAGTCAAATACAAGAGACAGAGTTTAGTTTTTAGACAAACTAAAGTGACGGATGTAGGAGGCGGTTCGTCAAGGTCACAGAAAAATTTACATTTTCTCATGTTCACACCCGTTTGTGGTTTTATTTGTATTCTGTTGGATGGACTAACGTGGCGTAGCACATAAATGTGAAGTAAAAAAAAAAAATGGTGAACACAATGTGGAAGAGAATCGGGCTATAATACTTTCAACAAGCAGTTTAAAAAAAGGCCCGCCCATACCAAGCTGGATTTTGTAGGTCCCGTCCACACAAAGCATCAGCAAAATCAACAACCTTTGAAACCTGCTCCCAGATTAGTAATGTTTTAAGTGGATCTCCATGGCGACCAAATGTAGATGATCTAAACCTCTTAACTAGCAAGTTTGTGCATGTAAACCAATGTAGGTCTCTCTTAGATTTCTTAGCACACATGAACTGACACAAACATCTGGAAGACAGTCAAATTTAATCCTAACTGAAGCATGGAGGTGGATGTGCCATGGTTTGGGATGCTTCAGGAGGACCAGGTCAGCTCTGCATCCTATATACTGATAGAAATTCCTTCATGTTTTTAAAGTGGTTTGATGAAAATTTGAATCCTTAAATGGAAATAATCTCACATAATGGTGACCGAAAACAAACTAGTAAAACTACAGAGAGGTGACTACGATTTTAGAAACGGAAATTCCCGGTTGTTCCAAATGGTTGTTTTTTAGTGATATGAGGCTTGAAGCAAGCTTTATATTTAATAAACTTCTTAAACAACTGAGAGGAAGGAGAGAGGAACTCCTCTCGCTTAAACTGAAGTATAGAAACCTAAATCCCTTTAAGACAGGTCCCACTGAAGCTTATTAACGGAAAAGTTAAAAAAGTCAAAGGGGTGAATTAGGCTGGAAGGTGTTCTAGTGTGTTCCTAATTTAAGCACACTATTATGTTTGAAAATATTTCTTCAATGACTAAAAGATATTTGATGTGTGTGTGTTTACTTGTGACTAAAACATAATCATTAACTCTTTATAGGACAAGTGACAGTTTTGATCACTTGCATTCCCCTTAGAAAGGGAGTCCCCTCTGTCCCTCAGGGAGATCTAGAAGCACAAGATCTATATCCAGCAATTTAGCAAAGATACCGCTACATGGCTGTACATTTTATTTTGGCATTAGACCAATTAGATGAACCCTTGAATGATATATTACCTACTACTGTAAATTAAGTTGGAAAAAAGAATAAGTCAAGAAAAAAAGGTAAAAAGCTAATTGAAAAGTTAGTAAATCTAAAGAGTTAATAAACCTCTAAGGTTATGTTGTACCTTTAAAAAAAAGTTAGTCTCAAAGTGTTTTTCATGAATTTCTTCTAGAAACACTTTTGTTATTTTTCTTAATATATTCGGGCAAGTTGGCGTTACTTGTTATCACATTGACATTCATTTTTCCCATCAAAATATCCATATTTCTTTTATGTTACAAAGATAATAAGGTCTTGTCTCCCAGTGGATGAAGCATTTTTATCCTTACAATCAGATTATTTGATATTATGCTCTTGATATAGGAGACTACACTTTTCCCCTTATTTTAAATGTAAATGTTCTTATTCCATTTGCAAAGTGTCTCACTTACCTGCTCAGTCCAAGAAAAAATTTACTAATTTTAAGAGAAAATGACTTAATTTAGATATTTAAAGTCTTTAATTGAGTGCCGTATAAAGGGTTAACAAGTAAGCAATAAATTAGACATCTATGTTTGAGCAAATTGTCTCAAAAAACGATCTGTTCAGGTGTCCTGATTTATTTATTTTTTCCATAACTGCATTTTTCATTGTGTTCCTGTTATTGTTTTCCCACTGAGGAAATTATTGCTGGTGATTGAAACAGACAAAGCCAAACCTGCCTCATAATCAGCATCACCGTTCATTTAGCTGAGCTCAGTGAGACGGACACCTCAGCCTCTAGGGACCATGATGGCCACCGTGCTGTTGGAGTCTATCCTGTTAATCGTGTTACTGTAAAGCAATCAGCTGCCTCAGAGCAGAGCAACACACTAACTTGTAAGGAGGGTTGAGGTTATGTGATTCATATTTACCAAAACATGGGGAACATGTACAATGTACATCTAAAAAAACATATATCTAGAAAAGAAAATATTAACTATGAATGTTTTTGTCAGTCAGTAGTTGAGTTATGCATTTTTTCAGTGAGCTTAACTCTCCTCTTCCAATCCAATTTTTTTGAGTTTAATGCACAACTAAACATAAAGGATGTGAGATCATAGAGTTGTTAAGAACTTCAGTTTGAGACCTTCATTACAGTTTACTGAGTATTTTGGTATTTATTTCACAGAATCAACATCAAACAGGCAATGTGGTTGTTTACTTTATAAAAACAGGTTAAAAAAGAAAGCAAAAATATAATTAAGAGAAGAGAGATGATAGGTCATATAATACAAGTACATACATATCCATAAACATGTATACAAAAAAACTTACTTTTCCTTATCTATTTCAAAAGGAGGAAGAAGGTAAAAAAAACACATTAATTCTATCAGCTATCCATAATCAAGAGAATATTTATTTTTTAACTTCGTAGTTATGGGTAATAATGAATATAAACTCACCTAAATAAAGTACAATTCTCACTACTAACTTGTAGAATACCAAAAACAACACAAAGAAT